AATCGTGAAAAAATAACATTTCCAGATGTAGAGTAGTTGGTATATTTTCTACTTACATTCTATAATGCTGATAAGATATTTAAAATTCAAAAAGTATAGAAGAAATAAGGGCATAGGCACCTTAGGACTTAATCTAATAACCTAAGTATCACATTAGCCCTAAATTTTTGGGAGGCGACGCAAAAGGGTAAGTGGTGGGCATGTAACTTTTGTTGTCTGGAACACATTTGGACTCGGACCTCCCCCTGGGTGTGCAGAAATTCTCCAGGTTCCTTCTCAATGCTCGATCCCAGGAAGCTAACATGCCATTTGCATCTGGATGCTTTTACTATTTGCAAACTTCAGTGAATGAATCTAAGCAATAATAATAATGAAAAAATCATTGTTGATAGAAACACATCCAGAATACAGTGGAACTGAAAGCCAAGAATATCAGATGCACAGTAAATCATGCCTAGCAAGGAGAGCAGGAGGAGTGCTGAAACTGGTGGACCAGCCGACCGAAACCCAGGGGATAGGGTGGGGTCTACTGCAAGCCAGGAGAGAATAAATACATCAGGGGAAAAACTGAGCTCGGAAAACAAGCTGAGCTCCGAGACGCACACCCCGTTGCCACCTCTGCTGTTCCTTCCCTCCCCACATTAGGATGGTCTGGGACAATCTCGGCAGCCACACTGGGACGCAGTGGCCTCCCTGCCCAGAGTCCCTCTTGTTACCCTGATTCAGTACTTTCTCTTTGAAACAGCTCCGTCGCCTCTTCCTTGCTAAATTGAGCAAGTACCTCGAAGGCATAATTTTCAATCCTCGGGTTCCATTAGTACATATTGTAAATTCCGTTTCCACCCCTTGGAGGAGAGACCAATTAAGTTTGAGGACTAGAAATAAAAGGTATTGGCTCAGATGAGCAATTTGTTTTAACATGATTTCCCAACCAAGGTCACATCTACCTCTCCTCTTACCTGTAGCTCAAAGTTGGCTTGATCCAGAAATTTTTTGTTCAGCATATCTGCATACTGATTAATCGCTCGCAGGAAGACTCTGAAAGATCAAGAGAAAATTACATAATTACACATGTAGCCTCTCGCACCTCCGTGGGTTTGGCATTTCAATTAGGTACAACCTGGACTGTCTGGAACGTGAACTCTCCAAGTCCGGCGAAAAGTGCCGCGGTTTGGCCAATGAAAAACCCAGACAATTATATGCAGATGTTCTCCAAATCAGTCAAGGAGATTCGCACAAGCAGAATAAAAGAAACAGACCAAAATAACGGTGTCTGAGAGTAACATATGAAAAGNACGACACTCAAACACCCCCCAGTAGCCACGCCTAACTTTGAAGGGGCCTGGAGAGCAGGTAAATTTGGCCAGATGGAAGCACTCCTGTTGAGCTGGTCCCCAGAAGGTGCCACCTGGAAGTCTCTTGAGCCAAAGCTAGCGGTAAAAACTGGTGTGGCTCTGAGGAGGCGGGCTGCTGGTGCTCAGCTTCCTGGCACCCACTGGGGGCACACACCGTGCCCACACCATTCTGGTTCATTTCCCTTTTCTGAGCAACGGGCACTGTCTACATCGATGGCCAGTAGAATGGGGTCACTCAACTGAGGAAGCTCGAAGGAAAGGTGCCAGGTGAACGCTGACCTTTATTTAGATGGGCACAGATGGAAAAAACCGGAATGTCCTAAAAGCAGCACCGGTAAAAATCTGGGGCTCTGAACTGCCTGAATTAGAATGACTGTGTGACATCGGCCACCTGGCTTGTCCCCGTGGTGCTTCACCTTCCTTATCTGGAAAATAAGGATCGTACGAGACCCTAAGGAATACTTTGGGGTTTCATTTTAATGGTTAGATTATATGTGAGAAAACCCACACAGAGTGCTACAATGTGACTGGGCATAGTACATGCTCAATAAAAGTATGCTGAAGTAATTATTCTCTGGGGATAATGTGCTTTCGATTTGCCTTGCAAGTGAGATACACACTCCCAGAAGATGAGAAAGGCTGACCCGCTGTGCCTTCTGACTTCCTCTGGAATCTCTGACCTCAGTGAGTGAGCAGGGAGTGGAAAGCAGTGGGACAGCCAAGCTCTGGCAGGGGTCTTGCGAAACGACAGACAGGGCCTGATCACTCGGCAATGGGGAGCCATCTGAAAATTCATCTTCAGGACTTACAAGAAGTGAGAAATTAGTGCAACTGAGGCAGAAAGAGAGGAGGCAAGGCCCTCAGGGCACGCAAAGGTTAGAAAGAACTCCGCTGCAAGAGTTCTTTTCTCTCCAGGCAGGGGCTGGGCCTCCTAGGGGCTTCTGACAGGTCTAGCAGGGTGACACAAGGGCCATTTAGCCCTTCAGAGCTCCCAGGGGTACCCTGCAGGGAAGGGGCCCCTACAGTTCACACTCCACCCTGAGGCTTCCAACAAGCCCGGTGCTGCCAAGAGTTTCC